TCACCTCCTACTGGTACCTGTAGTTCCAAGAGTCACATTCTTCTTCGGCTCCGGCTGCTCTAGAACCCCACAGTGCTCTTCTGGAGCCATCTCCGGCCTCTCAAGAAACCCGCCTTGACTCTCCCCCATGCTGCTCCAGAACGCCCCCTCAGGCCCTTTCACTGCCCACAGCACCTTCCGCCCCAAGCCTTGCTGTTCTAGCGCCCGCCCTTCCCTGCTCTGGACCCCCTAGGCCAGCCTGCTGCTCTAGAACGCCCCATCCTGCTAGAGCCACCGCCCTCGCGCTCTACGAGCCTCTCCAGTTCCAGCCATGACGCTCGGCGGCGCTACACCGCAGGGGGCGCTGTCGGTCTAGCTGAGCACCCAGCGCAGCGCAGGTCCCTCTCAGAGGGCGCCGCGGACAGCTCGACGTCCAAAATGGCTGTCAGCCAGGAGAGGCGTGATTGATGAGAGGCCTCCCATTAGCGCATGCGCAGTAAGGAGGACTTTGAAACCAGTCGAGTGCAATCCTCAATGTCAGCCTCGAGGTGGAACCCGTTCGGAGCAGGACGCATGCTCAGTACGAGTCTAGGGGCAATCGTCACGTGGGTGCGGACGTAGATGGCGCCCGCATTGGAGCACATGCGCATGGTGTGCCGGCGTGTCCCACGCAGGCCGCCGTCTTCCCGCCCGGTTATTGCCTGTTCCGGGGATTGGGGAAGCGACCCCACCCACAGCCGAGCCTGAGCGGTAGAGATGGCGGCGCTCGCAAGAGTCTCCCGGCTGCTTCTCGCCGGCGCCCCCCGGGCCCCGTTGGGACGGCTCATGTCGGCAGCGGGTCACGGGGAGGCTGGGGCAGGTAACGGGGGCGCCGCGACCGGGCGGGGCTGGCGACGGCCGGGTGACCTTGCGCTGAGCGAAGCGCCCGCAGGCCGAGCCCCTCAGCGGCGTCTCTGGGGCCTGGGCTGAGCCCGCTTCCCCGGGCGCGCAGCGACGCCACCCCTCGCTGCGGCCAGGGAGACCCGGACCCAGCCCGAGGGAACGGGCCGTAAGCCGCGGTTCGAGCCCGTCCTTGGCCGGGGGCATTTCCCCGTGTGCGGCGGAGACGCCTCTTCCCTGCCCCTCCCCAAGTCCGTGCGTCTCCCTCCCGCCGGGCTGGGGGTCTGTGCCTGCCGCTGCCGCCTTGCTCCCACAATAACTGTAGAAAATCACAAGGGTGTTCGTCTTTGGTCCGAGGGCCTGCTGCCATTAGGGACTCTGCGGTGATGAGCTTACGTTGGTGCAAAACCCTCATGTCCCAGAGAAGTCTTCTCTGGTGCAAGGGTGTGCACCGATTGGTGTCGTGGGGATAGAAAACGGGAGTCAAGCGGCTACTTCCAAGAGATCCTAACCCTTATGCAGTAACTGTTTTGTGCCGTGACACTGAGAATGCAATGCACCATACAACCAAATGCATTCCTCCTTGGCCACGTTCTGCATAGTTCTCTAAGTGCATCAATTTGCTGATAAGGAAAGTGTTTGTAGAACATTGGTAGTCCTGTTCGAAAACCATTGTATCCGGAGAGGTCTGTCCAGGGTGCTTCTCAGCTGAATTAGTGCTGCACAGATGTATGAAATATTCAGGGAGTTAGTGCAGTGTAAGACCCTTGCTACTGTCTCAGAAATTACTGTTAACTAGAGCTGATCAGAAAATATTAATTAAAAGTCTTCTGCCAAAACACTTGATTAAACCAACTTTTTTTCACAACACTGAAGACTTTGAAACTTCCTTTCAAAATGTTTTCAATACAACTTGTTTTGGAAAATTTTCAAAATAGAATTTTTGAATATGGTATTTGATTTGTCATTTTGTATGTAATACCAGATGCTATATCATGTGAAATCATGACACAACTGCTTTAATATAAAAATTGAATACAAATTTTGAAAAACTGTTCAAACAAATCTCAAATTATCCAAAACCAAAATATTTTCATAATCTTTCAAGTCTGAAAACTTGTTTTCATTCTAATTCAAAACAGATTTTGAAATGCATCACCACTTGGAAATTCTCATTTTTTGGATAGCTGTACTGTTGAGCATCTTCATGGTATTTTATTTCCTTCATTAGCTCAGACATGGAAGATCTTGTCTTTTGTGGTTGCTCTTCCTGGTGTTGGTGTATGCATGCTGAACTGCTACTTAAAGATGCAGCATGAACATGAAAGAAACGAGTTTGTTCCTTATGCTCACCTCCGCATCAGGACCAAGGTATGTGCAACAGTGCTTATAAAGGTGCTCTTATCTTCTCCAGTCACTGAATTATTTATTCCAAGATTACTACTGCTTGTATCGTTTTTTGCAGTAAGTATAAGTGATGTGAGGTGGAATCGACTGATTGGGAAATATGTGTATTTGTAATACCATGAATAAGAGCTCACACCTGTTAAGGCAGGGGGAGAGCTTTTAGGCTGTCAGCTGTGGTATTTATATGTAGATGTGGAGTTCTCCTTCCATCTTAGTTTCTTACACTCACGCATGAGTGTAAAACTTTAAACATCATCAAGGTTTTGGTCCTAAATAGTTTTTCCACTTAACTTGCATTCACACAGCTCAAAGGGCAGCTTTGTCATGAATGAGAGGGTGGAAGGAACTGGAGTGTGAGTTCTCAGTCAAGGGGTCACACACAAGTGTTGGGTTGAGATCACCCTGTCTTTCCCAAATTGCTAAATGGGAAGGGAGGACTTGCTATAAAAACTATTGAGAATGCCTGAAGTAATGTCAACTAACTGGCATCCCTAGCAGAAGCTATTGATAAAAGAACCCTAAAGGGGTGAAAGTAGTGGTGGGCTCTTTATTATTCTTGAGTCTACTGCTACTTATAAGTACAATGAATTTGTAATATACTGCCTCTAGTATTTAGTTCAAAGTACCATGGCTTAGATTTTGTCTTGGGATATTGGTAAATCAAATTCATTTCTACATTTGTGTGTCTATTTACCATAGTTGCTTGTAAACATTACAAGAGGTGCAGTGCTGACTAGATTATCAAGTTTAGAATTGTAGATTTACCCAAGCATTCTAGAAAGAGTTCTGCTCTGTTACCACAAGTGGTGGGTGTAAATTCAGCTTCAACTTACTTACTCCAGGCTTTCAAATTCTGTAATATGTACAGACCCAAACATGGTTTGTTATAGGAGTTGACTTCTTGTGCCTTAGCAGATTTGTCAAACAGTTACCAAGCAATCTTGTCAATTACTTCTTTCAACAGCCCTTCCCATGGGGAGATGGGACCAAAACTCTGTTTCACAACCCTCATACAAATGCTCTCCCGACTGGCTATGAAGAGGATCACTGAACACTTGGACCACAGCATCAGTTGCTCTCTTTGGACCAGAACATCGTATGGGACCCTCAATCTAAAAAATATTCTGCATTCCTTGTACTGTCATTATAAAGGCATTCTGACCTTTGGCCCTGTACTTGAAGGGGAGGTCACTTAACATAAATAAATCCTAAACTTCCATTTGTGTGTGGACCTTTGTAAAGAACTAGAAATCCTTGATCTAGTCTTTTCCCAATTACAGAGTTTATTAAATTTTTCTTGGGTGGCTGGAAAAGGTTTTGTAGGCAGTAGTGTAGTGAAGGATTTAATTGCTGCTTATCTCCTTTAAGCAGCTGTTAGAGGTAGGAGTGGCCTATAACAGACTAGTGGTAGGAATGCATACTAGAAAACCAAACTCTAATGCAAGCAACAGGATTGGATCTAAACTGCAATTGATTTTCTCCCTAAGCCATTACTCATGTTGAAAGGAGCATAAGTGCTAGATAAAACTCTTGAAAGCTATTGAACTGAAGTTGTTTAATAGGAACTGTCATACCATATCAAGGCAGTGGTCCATCTAATATAGTACGTGGTCTGCTGAAAACTACTGCTCTTAAAGAAAGATGCAAGAAATCGTACACTGGATAACTCTGGAAACTAACACATCCATAAACAAACCTTGTCTCTGTGAGAGGTATACTCTACTAGATAGCACTGTCTTCCCCAGCTGTAGTGCTCCTATATTGTGGCAGAGCAAAGTTCTATTCTTGCAGCATTCTGAAGAATTTGCACTGTTCCGCACCTTGCTAGTACTTGTGCCTTCTGTTTTCCCTATGCAATTTTGCCAAATGACTTCATAATCTAATACTGCTTCATATGTATGTTACTGCATAAGTTAGAACCTAACATGCCCAGTTAGGAATGAGGTGCTGTGCAAATTCATAAAAACTAAGATGTCCATCATGGACAACAAAGTAGTAACACCTGTGAAAGAAGCTTCCTTTTAATTCTAACTAGTCGGTTCTGAAGCAGCAGTGTTTTCATATTCTACCATAAAGTCTTATCCTACAGAAGTTGAGAGGAGTGAGCTCTTTAGTTATGACCTTGTAGTACTAATTAACAAGAATCCATGCTGTAATGCAAACAATTCAGTTTAGCCAGAGCTGAATTCTCCTTGAACCTGCACTTTCCATGAATAGGTCCCACCCATTCATTGTGGCAAACTTAAAAAAAATAAAACAAGCTTAATTCACAAATGAAGGGTGGTACCATATAGATGACGCAATGGAGCAACAGCTTGTTTTCTACTATGTTCCTGTACTTACCAGTCACTTTACCAGAGTCTTATTTCACTACTGCTCCTTTATAACATTAAAATCTAAAGCACAGGTCATGAGTACTCTAGCTGCAGACTTTGAAAAACAACTGTATGACTACATATAAAACATAATATGGGCCAGAAACTCTTAAATGCTGCAGGGACTGAAGGCTTTGTCCTCACCATGAGTAAGTTATACACTATTGTAAAAATAAAGTTAAAAGTAAGCATATATTCCTCCAATACAGTAAGGGGAAAAGCTAATTTATACTGTTTAGGGATCACTACTACCCTTCTCTAAAGAACTTCAGCTATTCTATTTCTACCTATCTTCTAGCTGGAGGGAGAATGACAAATAAGCCAAAAGAAAAATTCTAAAGTGAACATTACAAGACACTATTTACCCCCATTTCACAATATTTATTTCATCCCCATTATTACAGCCCACACAGCATCTTAGCAGAATACATGTGGTTGCTAAAGCAAGTTTCCTCCTATGTTAAAGCTCAGTATAAGGCACTTTCTGGCTTAATCGTATTAGCTGATGAAACAGTTTTTCCAGAGTTGGGATAGTAATACTCTAATGTTAGCATAACTGCCTCTTTCCTCCCACCCAAAACACTTCATTGAGGTGAAGTGCAAGTTGCAGACAGGGCTAGAGTGCACATTATCCTTAAAGAATGTTAAGTTATATCTCAAACAGCATTCCCAATGAACATTAACTCTGGCTCCAAAGATGCCATCCTACCATCTCCCTTTCTCTGTATGGAGTGCTCCAAAGAAAACTAGCTTTATAACTTGTTTCATATATAAATGCCTGATATTTATTGGTGACTTTTATCATACTATTTTTTTTCATGTTAGCTCTCATGAGTGTATGAGGCTGAAATATAAGCTAGTTCTGTTTTTAATAATACAGCTAGTGCTGTTTGGAGAACAAGGTGCTAGCACCTTACAGGATCAAACTGATTCCATCTAAGTTTTTGCTGTAGGAAGCTGAATGCCCTCAGTAGCTGGCAGGATCAGGCCCATACTGAAGATGGGGGGGAAGGATTGGCTCCCATACACTATGATTTTTTTTTGGGGTGCTATGTATGGCCTAACAGCCACACAACCCCTTAAGGCATTCTAAAGTGTTCTAGTCACTGGGCTAATGAATCTTCTGAATATATAATATCACAGGAGTTTGCTATTCTCAGAGCATCACTAGGGACAGTTAAGGTAGATCAGGGACTTTGTTTGAGAACTGCAACCTTAACTGTATTTTCTGGAGGTTTTTTTAATGGTAGCATGTACTTACAGCAATTAAACAGCTGAAATATTAACTTCATCTTACTGAAGTTATGGACATTTCTTTAATGAGTTTTTTTAAAGTGTTATGAGGACTAGGAGACAAACTCAATTCCTGCAAACTCTAGTAACCTACAATAGTAGGCACACTGCAGCCTCTAGAACAGAGGTGGGCAAACTATAGCCCATCCTGCCCGTCCCCTGAGCTCCTGGCCTGAGAGTCTAGCCCCCAACCCCTTCCCTGGTGTCCCCCCTCCCCTGCCGCCACACAGCACAATACTCTGGGCGGCAGGGCTGCAGAGCCCGGACTGACCCGGTGCTCTGTGCTGTGCGGCTGCCTGTCCTGGTGCAGCCATGCTGCCAGCCACCAGTGCTCCAAGCAGCGTGGTAATAGGGCAGGGAGGAGTTGGATAGAGGGCAGGGGAATTCAGGGGGTGGTGAGGGGTGTGAACAGGGGTTCCAGAGGGGCAGTCAGGAAGGAGAGGAGGAGTTGGAAGGGGCAGTCAGGGAGGATGGATGAGGCAGGGATCCTGGGGGGTAGTCTGGGAGAAGGGAGGGGTTGGATGGGGCAGGTGTCACAGGGGGGGCAGTCAGGAAGGAGACAGGGGGGTTGGATGGGACAGCAGGGGCAGAAGGTGCAGGATGGGGCAGGAATCCCAGGGGGGGGTCAGATAAGGGGCAGCAGCCAGGCCATGTCTGGCTGTTTGGGGAGGCACAGCCTCCTCTAACCAGCCCAACATACAATTTCAGAATCCCGATGCAGCCCTCAGGCCAAAAAGTTTGCCCACCCCTGCACTAAAAAGTCTAGGAGAAGTCTGTTTTCAGCTGTTGGTCAAAAGGCTCACGCATCATCCTCTGTGCCAGAGCATGGTAGCTGCAGTTCTCCTCTGGCCTGTAATAAAGAAGTTCCAATTTTTACAAAAAGTGTCATTAAGATAAAGGTTTGTCCCCTTGTTTAGATCCTACAAGGTGCCTAGGAACAGAGCTCCTGTCCTATTAACTCACTCATTTCCAAAGGACTGAAACCGTCCTATGGTCCAAAAGAATGGAAACAGTTAACATGTCTGGTGGAGAGGAGAAGCAACATCAATAGAGGAGACTCCTCCTCTCACTCCTTCAGCTTCTCCCTGTGCTCATGATGGGTTCTTGGGGAGGAAACTTCCTCCCCCAACTCCTTCATAAGGCTCAGGAGGGATTTTCTCCTTTTGTAAACCTTAGGTTCAGAGAAGGGGGAAACTAACTGCTGTTCTGAGTCACCTACACCTCTTGCTTTCTCCAGCTACATTAAGGTCTGCAGAAAAAAGGATCCATTCTTGAAGACCTCCAGAGGGATTTAGGGAGGAAAGGCTGGAGGCAGAAGGGGGAAGTTTTGTTTTTCATAGACTTCAGGTTGACTTGAGTTAAACACCATTAGGAGCCTCCTTATGGGAAAAAGTCTTTTTCAGTAGGAAGGCTAAAGGGCAAGGTGCATGGGTGTAAGGAAGGGAGCTAAACAGAAGTCTCTAAAGAAATTTGGAAAACAAGCTTGGTTCTTGATTAATCCTTTACATGCTACACTAAGCTCACCACTCAACATTTCCTGATGTTACTAAATCAAATTTAAATAACTCTTGAAAACAGACTTCAGCCAGCTACATTTTGGTTTAGGACATCAGTTTTCATGCAGGGGTATATCGTAAAGTTGCATTTCTCCCTCTCCTTTCAGATTTCTTATTACAAAGCAGGAAGACAAATTTCCAACTGACAGTTGGGTACTGTTTTAGAGTGTCATAAAGCAGGAATCCCTTGTCTAATTCAAATATTTAACTTAAGCAGACATCTAACTTCATGATTTTGAGGCTAATCTGTGGAGTGTTTCTGGGCCTGTGGGGTGGGGGTGCCTGTTAGAGAAGGACAAGTGAAGTGTAATTGAATCACTGTTGAAACTTTATTTATGGGGCAACAGCCATTCAGTAGTATAGAGTTAAGTTCAAGGTAGTGTCAGTGCCTTTTCAGCTCTGTGCATGAACTGCCCAAGGCTGCTGAAAATACCTTCTGAAAGCAGTTGCTCCTATTCACTTCTGTGACAGGCTGGCCCCTTCCCATCTTAAAGGGCACAGGCAGGTTTAACCGGACAGTTGTCTCATTTAGTCAAGCATAACTTTAGTTGACTGATGTGTATTCTATATTAAAACAACACCTTGTGCATTCAAACAAAAATCATTGCAACTCCAGCAGTGGGCCTTTCATGGCAGCATTACAGTTGCACAATATGAAGCAAAGCTGTAGCACATCAGTTTTCAGGAAACAAACCAACCCTATCCCCAATAAAAATCCAGCAGCACACTCCAATACGTAAATTAACCCCTTTCACATTAATTTCAGTATTTAAAATTGTCTTAATGTTATATAAATAAAAAAGCAACTGATCATAGATCAGCTAATATCTAAACCCATTTCAATAAATATTCCCCTGTTCAGAGTACATTCACTTATGATTATAAATTGATAAAAAGGCTATTCACACACCGCATGATGCCAGACCACCAACAACATTCATTTAGGATGAAACAGTAATTGCCACAAAACCTAGCTGAAAGGAACTGCAGAAAAGACTTCTTGCTTCTTAAAAAGCCAGGCAGAAATAACAGCTAATCCAAGGCAATCATCTAGTCTTTGTGACGTTCTTTTTCCAAGTCCAAAAAGGTCATTGTAATGGCACAAGATGTCCAAACAAGATCAGGAGGAGTTTTCAGCTTTTCCTTTCCTGGGACCCATGAATTCCAGCCCTTCGATGGGTATGTCTTTCTCCTTAATAGCTTTCTAGGAAGGGGGGGAAAAAAGCAAATTTGTTTTAATAATGTTTTGTGGTTCTACATAAAGACATGTTCTCTGCCTGGTATAATTTAAGACCAATCAAGGTTGCTATTAAGGTTTCCATCAAACCATACCATCAGACACGCTCAAAGAGCTACCGTGAATATAGTATGAATTGTAGCCAAGACTCCATCAGATAAATTTATCCAAGCCCTAGACCAACACTTCTCATCCATATGTTGAGAGGAATTACACCTGGTGCAGTGAGTGAAAGAAGCTAGAGGGACCTGAAGATGAGGTCTCAGTGCTGTGAGCAGAAGAACCAAGGCAACAGATGAAATCTTCATGGAGTAATGTATCATGAAAGAAATTGACAGGATGACTGTTACAAAAGCACTGACTGCTCGTTCTTTCAACTGGAATGTCAATAGTAGTCTGTAAAGCTTCGTGTAGGAGGGTCATAGAAGAAAGGGAGGAAAGAACTAATACATGTTAAAAATGTGTATATATGGAGTAAAAACATAAGTAAAGGTGACTGCAATTAAGCTTTATAGGAGAGATTAAGGAAGGTACAAATTTAAGTTTTATATCATAGAAATGTAGGACTGGAAGGAACTTTGAGATGTCATGAAGTCCACACTGTGCCCTATCTTCAGTGGACACAGAGAACAATTCATCACCATCCTTTTTATAAGAGCCCTTAACATATCTGAAAGTTTTATCAGGCCACCCCTCCCCCCTCAGCCTTCTCTCAAGGTGACACTTAGGTTTAAAAAAAAAAAAAAGTTTCTTCATAGGTCAGATTTTCTCAATATTTTATCATTTTTGTTACACTCCTCTGGACTTTCTCCAGTTTGTCCACATCTTTCCTGAAGTATGGCACCCACAACTGGACACAGTACTCCAGCTGAGGTCCCACCAGTGCCAAGAAGAGTAGGACAATTACCTCCCACGTCTTTATATACGACACTCCTGTTAATACACCCCAGAATGATATTGGCTGTTTTTGCAACTGTGAATTTAAATCACATTGTTGACATGTATTAAATTTGTGATCTATTATAAGCCCCAGATCCTTCTCAGGAGTACTACCTCCTAGTCAGTTATACACTATTTTGTAGTTGTGCATTTTTGCCTTCCTAAATGAAGTACTTTGCACTTCTTTATTGAATTTCATCTTGTTTAATTCGGATCAATTCTCTAATTTGTCACAGTCCTTTTCAATTCTAATCTTGTCCTCCAGAGTGTTTGCAACCCGTCCCAGCCTGGTGTCATCTGCACATTTTATAAGCACTCTCCACTCCATTAGCCAAGTCATAAATGAGAACATTGATAAAGAACTCTGAGTACATTCTTTCAACCAGTTGTGCACTCAACTTACTGTCATTTAATTTAGACCATATTTCCATAGTTTTCTTATGAGAATGTCATATGGGACTGCGTCAAAAACCCAGAAAATCAAGATATATCATATCTACTGCTTTACCCCTATCCACTAGGCCAGTAACCCTGTCAAAGAAGAAAATGAGGTTGGTTTGGCAGGATTTGTTCTTGACAAATCCATGCTGGCTATTCCTTATGGCTCTATTAACCTCTATGTGCTTATAAATTGATTTTTAAACATTTGTGCCAGTATCTTTCAATGTATCAAAAGGCTGACTGGTCTATAATTCCCTGGGTCCTCTTTGTTCTGCTTTTCACTAGGGCCATATCTATTGTTGGCCCTTCTCCAGTCTTCTGGGATCTCACCCATCCTCCAGAAGTTCTCAGACAATTATTAACGGTTCAGTAAAAAGAAAAGGAGTACTTGTGGCACCTTAGAGACTAACCACAAGTACTCCTTTTCTTTTTGCGAATACAGACTAACACGGCTGTTACTCTGAAACCTAACGGTTCAGTGTTTGCTGCAGCTAGTTCCTTAAGTATTCTAGGATGAATTTCATCAGGCCCTGCTGACTTGAATACACCTAACTTACCTAGATAGTCTTTGACCTGATCTTTCCCTATGTTGGCTTGCATTTCTTCCCCCTTGTTGTTAATACTGTGTTGAGTATTTGGTCACCATTAACCTTTTTTAGTGAAGACTGAAGCCAAATAAGTGTCAGAAACCTGAGCTTTCTTGAGGTCATTAGTTATTTGCTCTCTTCCCCTGCTAACTAGAGGACCTATACTTGCCTTCATCTTTCTCTAGTTCCTAATGTATTTAAAAGGACTTCTTATTGCCTTCTATGTCCCTTGCTAGGTGTAACTCAATTTTTGCTTTAACCTTTCTGATTCTGTTCCTACATGCTTGTGCATTTCTTCTGTACTCTTCCTTAGCAATTTGTCCAGGTTTCCACTTTTTGCAGGATTCCTTTTTGATTTTCAGGTCATTAATGAGCTCCTGATAGAGCCATATTGGCCTCTTACTGTTCTTATCTTTCCATCACATGGGGATAGTTTGTCTCCTGGAGAAACTGCCAGCACTCCTGAACTACTCCCCCCATCCCCACCACACCCACCACTTTAGATTTTCTTCCCATGGGACCTTACCTACCGGTTCTTTGAGTTTTGTTAAAAAGTCTGCTTTTTTAAAGTCCTTTTTCCTTACTCTGCTGCTCTCACTCCTTCCTTGCCTTAGAATCATGAAATCTATCATTTCATGATCACTTTTATCCAAATTGCATTTCACTTTCAGATGCACTATCAATTCCTCACTGTTAATATCAAAATCAAATCTAAAAGGGTAGTCCTCCTAGTTACTTCCTCTACTTTCTGGGGGAAAAAAAAAAGTTGTCTCCAATACTTTCCAGTAACTAATTGGAAGTTTTGTATTTTGCCATATTACTTTTCCAACAGATGTCCAAGTAGTTAAAGTCCCCTGATTCTACCAGGTCTTTTGGATATGGAGATGTCTGCTTCATTTATAAATATCTTATCCACCTTCTCTTCCTGATTTGGAGGTCTATAGTAGACCCTTACCATGTCATTTTTTTTAAAACACCTTTTTTCTTTACCCAGAGATTCTCAAGTGGCCTGCCTCCCATTTTTTTAGACTTCAGAACACATGTATGTGTAATATATATACTGTAAGTCAATAAAAGTACAAAAAGCATTTCTTAATGAGAAGAGCATCAAGAAAGTAGCCAGTCAGCAATTTTAGCTACTCAAGTGCTATACCTATTAGTGAAACACACACAATCAATTTTAGAATAGAAGAGTTTTGTTTCCCCCCCGCCGCCAACTTTGTTCAGGATCATTTATTTCAGAACATTGTGAATGCAACAAGGTGAGATATCCTTTCCTCTCAATACACAGTCAAAGGCTAACAGATGTAAAAGCAAAGGCAAGGGACCACAAATTAAATGAGTTTAGAGAAGAAAATAAAGGAATGAGTCAAATTAAGGTACACCCCTTAAGAAGATAACTTTAAACAAAAAAAGAGCATAAGATCATGCTAACCAGGAGAGTAAAAGAACATAAGATACATCTGAAGAATGATTAAGAGTTAGGATGAAAAATAGGAATATTAAATATAAAGCAACCAATAAAGTGTTTAACCATAAGGAAGAAGAGAATGCATATTATGAGCAAACGTAAGAGGAGGACAGCAAAACAAAAACTCAACTGGAATCCATAGGTTTGGTAATAGTAAATGTCTCAAAACAAAAGGCCTGAAGAGGGCATCCAAAGATTTTTAATGAACAGAAGGAAGTACCACCAGTTGTAATTTTTGATTATTTGGAATACAGATGGAATAATTTGCAATTGAACAAAAAAGCCAAATATTGTCACAATTTTTAAACAAAGGAGACCCAGAAATATATCAACCAATTAGACTTCAATTTCAAGAATGCAGAAATCTAGGGGGCAACAAATCAGGCCCTGATCATGTGGTCAGACCTCTATGCCTGCATGGAGTCCCAATGAAGTTAATGAGGCTCATAGCACAGGGATTCACCCACTTGCAGCAGCATGTAGGACCTGGGCCCTTACATGAGCCAATAGTGAGATGAGCAATGTAAGAAAAAATAAAGTAATAATGCCTCTTTGGACAGCCGTTCTAAGTCCATTGTTTTATGAAATTTCAACCATTCAAAACCCCCCACAATCCTAGACATACCTAGCACTCAAAATAACCTACTATACTGAATTACATAGGGCACCCATAAATTGTATCAGCTTTTCACTATCACTGCACTTCCAATAAAGATATCTTCATTTCACTGAGCTGTTCTTTATAGAAAGCTCAATATAATGAGGATGTTTCCTCTTCTTGTTAATGAAAAACAAAACACTGGAGAACATACAGAGACAGACAAATCAATGATGCAGAGACTACAGAATATGGTATACTAAGGGACCTCTAAAAAGGCTCCAGAAGTGACCCTGGCAATTACAGGCCGGTAAGCCAGACTTCAGTACCGGGCAAACTGGTTGAAACTATAGTAAAGAACAAAATTCTTGAACATAGGTAAACACAATTTTGTTGGAGAGGAGTCAACATGGTTTTTGTAAAGGGAAACCATGCCTCACCAATCTACTAGAATTTTTTGAGGGGGTCAACAAGCATGTGGACAAGGGGGATCCAGAGGATATAGTGTATTTAGATTTTCAGAAAGCCTTTGACAAGGTCCCTCACCAAAGACTATTAAGCAAAGTAAGCGGTCATGGGATAAGAGGGAAGGGTCCTCTCATGGATTGGTAACTGGTTAAAAAAACAGGAAATAAAGGATAGGAATAAATGGTCAGTTTTCAGAATGGAGAGGTAAATAGTGGTATCCCCCAGGAGTCTGTACTGGGTCCACTCCTATTCAACATATTCATAAATGATCTGGAAAAAAAGGGGTAAACAGTGAGGTGGCAAAATTTGCGGATGATACAAAACTACTCAAAATAGTTCAATCCTAGGCAGACAGCAAAGAGCTACAAAAGGATCTCTCAAAACTGGGTGACTGAGCAACAAAATGGCAGATGAAATGCAATGTTGATAAATGCAAAGTAATGCACATTGGAAAACAATCCCAACTATACATATACAATAAGGGGTCTAAATTAGCTGTTACCACTCAAGAAAGAGATCTTGGAGTCATTGAGGATAGTTCTCTGAAAACATCCACTCAATGTGCAGCAGCAGTCAAAAAAGCAAACAATGCTGGGAATCATTAAGAAAGGGATAGCTAATAAGACAGAAAATATCATATTGCCTCTATATAAATCCATGGTATGCCCACGTCTTGCATACTGCATGCAGTTGTGGTCGCCCCATCTCAAAAAAGATATATTGGAATTGGAAAAGGTTCAGAAAAGGGCAACAAAAATTATTATGGGTATGGAACGGCTGCTGTAGGAGGAGAGATTAATAAGACGGGGACTTTTCAGCTTGGAAAAAATATGACTAAGGGGGGATTTGATAGAGGTCTATAAAATCAGGACGGTGTGGAGAAAGTGAATAAGGAAGTGTTATTTACTCCTTCTCATAACACAAGAAGTAGGGGTCACCAAATGAAATTAATAGGCAGCAGATTTAAAAACAAAAGGAAGTATTTCCTCACACAACGCACAACCTGTGCAACTCCTTGCCAGAGGGTGTTGTGAAGGCCAAGACTGTAACAGGGTTCAAAAACAGAACTAGATAAATTCATGGAGAACAGATCCATCAATGGCTATTAGCCAGGATGGACAAGGATAGCATCCCTACCCTCTGTTTGCCAGAAGCTGGGAATGGGCAACAAAGGATAGACCACTTGATGATTACCCGTTCTGTTCATTCCCTCTGTTGCACCTGGCATTGGCCATTGTCAGAAGACAGGATACTGGGCTAGATGGACCTTTGGTCTGACCCATTATGGCCGTTCTTATGACTGAAAGTTAAATTCCCCCTGCATAAGAGGCAATTAAAGAGAGGGGAAAGAGAGGTCATCACTAATGTTTGAGAATTTAATGATGTATGAGTGAGTGAAATATTCTATCAGTACTGACAGTAACAAAACAGAATACACACACCATGGAAATCGTGAATAGTCTCTATAACATCAAGTCTCTCAGATTAATGTGGGTCTGAAACGAAGAGAAGTTTGAAGAAAATGAGTCAAATCTGACTGATTCCTGTCCCAAGAAGTCTTGCGAACTATGCACATTTTAATAAGATTTTAAATGTCTCATCACAAGTGATTTCTTCATCTTCAAAATGATACTTAACAATAGTGAGACCTACTGTAATACCTAGGTCTCAAAATACTAAGGAATTTAATCTTCACACCACCACCCTTCTGAAGTGGATAAGTTTATCCCCACTTCACAGAGTTAAAAAAAAAAAAAAAAACAACCAAAAACCCACAACAAGGAGTCCTTGCAGCACCTTAGAGACTAACACATTTATTTAGGCATAAGCTTTCGTGGGCTAGAATCCACTTCATCAGATGATCAGCCACAAGGCCTCCCCGTTGTTTTTGCTGATACAGACTAACACAGCTATCCCCGAAACATTTCACAGATGGCTTTTCTGAGCCCTGGTTTTGCTAAGTGATTTCACCAGGGTAACACAGCAAGCCTTCCTCTTCCATCTATGGTACTCCCCAGTCACTCTACCCCAATGAACCCAAAGGTAACCACGCCTTCGCAGCCCTGCTCAAGGGCAGGCGGGGCCGGAGCGCCGCCAGCTGAGACGCCAACTTGCCCAACGCAGCGCTTGGCTAGGCAGGGTTTGTGCGGGGGAGGCCTCCCCCCGTGACGGAAGAGGAAGCCAGGGGACACCCCCACCCTCCCTCTTCCCTTCGAGGGTCCTTCCCCACGGTCACTCGCCCCGCCCAATGGCGACTCGCTCCCCTTCCTCTGCGCCGGGCCCACTTCCCCCACCTGCACGCAGAGCTGGTAGCGCTTGAAGAGCTGCACGCAGGGGTCCCCCGCGTTCTCCCCCTTGAGGAACTTCTCGGCGAACCAGCGGTTGAAGCACTGGTCATACTCGCGCTTCAGCTCCGTGCACGCCTCCCCCACGCTGTTCATGACGGAGCCGCAGGCCCAGGGAAGCGACAGGGCCTCGCGCCGCCCTTCCCGCCGCCGCTGCTAAGAAGTGCGGCGTTCCCAAGTGACGTAGTTCCTGTTCACCTAGGACGCTAGTGAGCGCAGCGCGATGACACACATCCGCTCAGCTGCCTAAGAATGGATCCCGGATGCGGAAGTCCGGAGGGGTGGGGGGAATGTGGGCTCTGCGGTTCAGCCGCTACATCAGGGGCGCTCCCCTAGGAGGAGGCTCGCACTGGGCCGGCCTTTCCTTAGGAAGCCGCTTCACGCAGGCTGCTTCGGGACGGAGCGACAGCCGGCAGGAAGCGGCGGGGGACCCACGGCAGAGAGGCCTGGTGAGACCCCGGAGCTACAGAGGAGGGGTTAGGTCCGCGCCCATGATATCCGAGTGGTCTTCATACATTGCGGGCCTTATAGCAAGACACGTGGGGACATCAGCCGCCCGCCGCAGGAGGGAAGGAGAAGCGGGGATTCTGTCGTGAATGGGATGTTTAATCGACTGCCCCCATCCAACCTCCATACGAGCGGTGGCAGTAGCATAGAGACGCCTTGTAGGAGTGGTGGTGAAAGGGTGACCGTTATAAGCGGGAGCCTAGCATGATGGCAGCAGAATACATAACACTGGATAGGTCAGTCTCCACTCTGTGGACTGGAGCAAATCCCAAAGCTGCGTAGAGGGATCAGGATCTATTCAAGGGGCTACACTTAGGGTACTGTCACATACAAATACAGCAAGGAGACTAGCTAGAAGACAGAATTTCTAACGCAACTAATTTTCAAAACTTTTATTAGTCAAATTAAAAGCTGCAAAACAATAGATTACAAAATATAATCCACTTTTTACGTCAAATTAATAAGCATGAGTATTATACCAGCTAGCAAGTTTCAGACAGCAAATATTGTTTAATGTTTAAAGCATATGACTGGGAGTTAGACTCCTGGGTTCTGAACCACAACCTTATTTGTTCCTTTGGTAAATCACAATTTCAGTTGGCTTCCCTGTCCTTAAAGCATTTTGAGATGCCCTGAGCTGCAAAAGTGCAAACTATATTTTGGTTTGCATCTTCTGATTCATCACTACAGCCAATCTTTCAACTTTATGTCTTGGTACATGTGGGTTTAGTTTCATTCTCTCTAGAACTAATTTTCCCTACAAAACAGAATCCATTTACAAGTATTTAAGACAATGTGTCTATAATCTGAGATTATTCACGCTAAATATTTAAACAACTGTTGCATATTTATCACTGCCCACGTCTTCCACTTTAGGTCTACCAGAACCCAACATGGCAGCATGTGGAACAGAGACCACTCCCTCAGGTATGGTGAATTCAGCAAAACATTTAAACATAGACCTGGCCAATGTAACTTTCTTCTGTTAGCTAGTAATTGCATATTTGAGAGGAAATAATGGTAAAATTAATCAAATCAAAACTCAGGACAGTTTCTCTAAACCAGGGGTCTCAAAGTCCCGGCCCCGGGCCATCTGCAGCCCGAGAACCTCCCCACTACGGCCCGTGGAGGAGAGACACATGCGGACATACTGCTGGCAACATCTGCTGCAGGCACCGTCCCCCACAGCTCCCAATGGCTAGGGGAGAGGGACAGAGATACCATCACTAGTTGCCGGGCCGAGTCAGCCATGGAGGCAGTGTCACTTTTTTCCCCCACAATGAATATAAACAAGTCAAAATAGCGAACACAACTATCTGATGCACACCTTGCTGCAATCCTGAAGTTTTCAACTGCTCAGTCACGGAGGCCAAACATCAACAAACTGACAGAACTGAAGCGTTACCAGGTGTCTGACAAACACTAAACTCCCCAGCAGGCAAAGAATTGTATAAAATGTTATGACAATTTTATTATTTCTAAGAAATTTGAAATAAAAAATACAATATAAACGTTTTCTTTTCTGAACACCATCTTCAGTGATGTTATTGGCCTGCTGGGAGGATTTGAGGACTGGCACTGGCCCTAAGGTAAATTGAGTTTGAGACCCCTGCTCTAAACTCTATACCCAACAATTCTGCCATGTTAGTGCAGATTGGAACTTGGAAGACAGAGCTACACAAAATCAGTTTACTTTGAAAATTAATGACAACCTAAATAATTAAACTAACCTGATGGTGTTCTGGGGCAGCATTTGTTTAAATCAAGTGTTCTTGTGATAGCATGATAGTTCACAGATCACTCAAACTTAGACAGATCTCAGCTGCTATAAATTGTCAGGCTCCACTGAAGTCAACAGAACAATGATAGTTTACCCAAGTTGAGGATCTGCCCCACATTGCTAGGTCTATGGAGAGAAGATCAATGGCTCCTCTAGCTCAGTGGTTCTCAACCAGGGGCACGTAGAGGTCTTCCAGGGGGTACATCAACTCATCTAGATATTTGCCTAGTTTTACAACAGGCTACGTAAAAAGCACTGCCAATGTCAGTACAAACTAAAATTTCACACAATGACCTGTTTATGCTGCTCTATATACTATACACTAAAATGTAAGTATAATATTTATATTCCAATGGATTTATTTTATAATGATCAAGGTAAAAATGAGAAAGTAAGCAATTTTTCATTAATAGTGTGGTGTGACACTTGTATTTTTACGTCTGATTTTGTAGGCAAGTAGTTTTTAAAGTGAGGTGAATCTTGGGGGTACTCAAGACAATTCAGACTCCTGAAAGGGGTACAGTAGTTTGGCAAGGTTGAGAGCCACGGCTCTAGCCAGCTACCTTGTGGAGTTCTGTGTATTGGTTATAAGAGTAACAGCTCTTTTGACTTACCTTTGCTAGACACCAAATGAGGAGGGGAAAGATAGTGGGAATGCTGGTTCATACAAACAGCTGGGCACTCATGCTACATTGCTGTATCCATTCGGCAGTGTGCTTTTCAGGAGCTTCCAATCTGGTTTCACTAAAAATATGAGGCAATATAAAATACAGCAAAAGAAATCAAGATGCTTAAATATAATATTTCTTGAACAAGAAATGCTTTTACACTAAAGAATTTTAGCAGCAATATTTATAACTTACTCATCTCTGCCCACACCAACTCATCAGTATGTGGCAGCCTCCTTCTAGGCCCTAGATCTGTGACTTTGTTTCCTTCTTTCTGCAGAAAAAAGTAACTGTGGAGGTGCTTGATCACCTGGAGCGTCTGGCACTAGTTGACTTCCGCGACTGGGAGGGTGTACAACGGCTGGAGAAAGCAATCCAATTTGCTGATCAGCTTCATGCTGTCAACACAGAAGGGGTAGAACCAATGGATTCAGTACTAGAGGATAGGTAATAAATCATGGCTAGTGACCTGCTTATCTGTTAACTTACCAAGACGTTAATATCCATAGTCTCAACAGAAACACTGTTTTCACTAATCATCCCAGCTATGAAACTGGTTCCTTTTCCACAAAAAGCTTTATCTAGTGTTCTATGTCAATATGGTTCTATGTAGGAAAAGCATCTGTGTAGCATCCCTGAACTAGGCACAGAAGCATGACAAAGATGTACTTCAATTCCTTAATGTATCTTGCACGGATTCTTCATGTCACAACATGCTGTCCCCCAAATGCCCTGGAAAAAGATCCTCAGTCACTTCAAAATGTGCTTATCCCTGCTGCTCTTGTTATAAAGTAGGCAGCCTGTGTATTGCTGTCACATCTTCTGCAGCTTTAGTTGGTCAAGAAGTCATCTTGACTGTACACTTTCATATAGGGTTTGTCTCACTCAGCTTTTTACAAAGTAGTGCCAACAATCTTGAGCAGTAAGTCCAATGCAGCACTTCTGTGCTTGTGTCCATGTACAGCTCAGTGCTGAAGGTCCTGCTGATTTGAGGACATTGAGAAATTTCCCAAGGTTTCACTGTAGTTTACAGTAGATCATTTGTATGGTTGTATGTGGAGCCTGTCAGGCAGGAGGGAAGTTGAGGTTGCTCACCTACCTGCCAGTGGCTCCAAACAAGAACTATAAGATATGCTAATAGCATTTTGAACTGGAACAAGGTTAGAAGATAAATGTTAATTGTTTCAGAGCCAGGCAATCTCCCCCTGGCTCTAGGGGCATGACTTTATATCCAGTACCAGATGCTCCTGTACTTAATTGGCAAAGAAGGTAGTCTCAGAAATTGCTAGTAGTCTCCTATGCTCCTCAGATGTCTGTATCTCAGAGAAGATAACATCACAGAAGGCACTTGCACTGAGGAGCTTCTGCGAAATGCCAGAGAAACAGTTGAGGAATATTTCATAGCCCCACCAGGTACCACTTTTTTATATATAACTCATTTCACTTGATAAAGCCCAGGTAGATGGCTTGAGAGATGTAACCTGCCAAAGTTGAATACACTGGCCTGTAGCAGAAAGATACTGAAATACGGCAATGATAGCTTTGGCCACCCATGGAGAAACACTGGTGTCTAGCTTTTTATTACTTGGCCAGTAGTTGTGCAGCAAGTAAACGGTTTTATCCTACCCTAATGTTACTGAACACATTTAACTTTTTCTAACTGTCCGTAAATTAAAGTGGAGTTTGTTTGCAGGGGAAAAGCTAGTCAGTTGTAAGCTTTTAAAGTGAGCCACATGGCCAAGTGTATGTTGAGTAGTACGAATGACTAAATAAGGAACAGTTTGTTTCCTGCTATCATTGTTTGTTTTGTTTGCTATTAGGTAACATCCCTTTACCAAAGCTAGAGGAGCGAGACACTTTTCTGCAAGTCTCCGAGTGAAAGTCAAGGTCTGGAATGCCGCTTCAGCTTTTAAGTCATCTGTGAGAATTGGCATATATCGAACCATGGCTATGGAGTATCTTGATGCAAATGTCTAATCCCAAGAACAACACCCTCACATAATTATTTGATTTTTCTTCCTTCCTTTCTTCTGTAAGATTACTTTGAAATTAAAGGTTTGGTGTCTTTTTCCAGTATACACAAAGGTGGAAGGCTATGGGCCATTTACAAGTCTAGAAGTTTGGCCTCAGTGCCTCTGATTAGTCTGTATTTGGTGAAGCTTACTGAATGTCAACCTTCAAAATATCATGCACAGTTAGCACTCTAGAACCAACAGCTGCCTACATCAACCCTGCTGATTGGGGGAGGGAAACTGGTGGTATTTTACTTTCCTGTAAAATTACCTAAGCAGAGTGAGTAGAATGTTGCAGTACTTAGATTCATTTGGAGCTTCTCCCATCTTGTCACTTAGTGATCTGATACTTACTCAAAGTCCCACATCGGAGAATGCTACATAAAACTGCTTTTTGCCCCTACTAGGTACAGTAAGGGCAAGAACTCACTTTTCTCTACAGACTAAGAAAGCACTTTATTTATTAGCTGCTGCAATCTTGAAGAACTTTTTTGCTTCTACCAAGCACCTTCATGTCAACGCTATCTTGTTCCACATCTATATACACTGCACTCTAACCAGTGCTTCGTCCAGTTGGGTGCTTGTAAATTAGGTACCTAAATTTGTTTTTAGGTTATATAGGAAACATGCTTGTTTCTTAAGTGAAATAATGGCTTTAGGGTGGAGATCCTTGCTCAGACAGATAACTGGAAAAATTCTAGGGCCATTATGAAAGTGTATTCCGAAGACTAGTTGCCCTGGTACAAATGAAGTCCCACTGCTTTCTGTCCACGTTGATAGCGTGGTGAGCTGGTGCATGATGCAACCATTGTGGGTTTTGCTCAGAGCGACTGTAATTGCAGTAACGCTGCCAGTGTCTGTCCACCACTAAAAGCACTTCTATGGGATACAAAAGGTGTTAAGCATTGCAATTGCTTGCACTGCTGAAATTCTCTAGCTGAGGCAGCAGAACTGTCATTTATTTTTAATAACTCCACTACATGGAAGCTAGACATCATGTGCAGTCAGGTGTGAAAAAAAGATGCACAATAATGTTTTTGATCACACATCAGAGCAGATTTTAGAAAATTAAGCAGTCTATCAAGCTTCTGTAGTCTAGGTAGACACTGTGAGCCACGAGCTCCAAGAGAAGCCTCGGCTAGAAGCACTGTGCTAATGGTTAGAGCCATGGACCGGCATTCATTAGATCTGGGTTCTATTCCCCGCTCTACTACTACCCTCCTGGATGACCCTTGGCAAGTCACTTCACCTCTGTGCCTCACATATGCTATCTGTAAAATGGTGATAATGATACCAGCATCCTATGTAAAGCACTTTCAGATCTATGGATGAAAAGTGCTCTATTATTATTTAGAGAAATTTTAGTAGAAGAGCCGTGGCTCCTGGACTTTATTATTTGTCCTATCGTTGACTCTGTAACTTCATATAAATCACTCTAGCTGCATTGTAATTTTAGGCATTTGTAAAACAAGTAGTACTTTTGCATAAGCGTAGAGATGCTTGATAAATGCATAAAGCACTTTGAGATTTCTAACTGAAAAAGATGCTATAGCACAATTTTATTTTCCCTTTTTTTTCCCCCTCACTAAGTTATTGTAAAGGGGAGAAAGCCAGCTCATTAAGATTAATACCATCCCCTGTGTGAAAACACCCTCAGGCAGTTCAGCCCTCCTCCACCTGCCATTCTAGAGTGCACTGTTCTGATGCTGCAAGAGAGAATCACTCTCTCAGTACATATTTAGGCAGCTAGCAGCCCACAACCTCAGAGTGGCTTGCACCTGTTCCCACCTCCTCTTAATACAATGATCTTCCTCTAATTGTACAAAAGACAACCACCGCTTGTGAGTTACTAAAACATTTAAATATATTTCTACACAACAGGCTGAGTCATACAGTCACTCCATTGCTTTTTATCACCATCCTGCAGACAAGCCACCAATAGTTACTGCACTAATTCTCAAGCTTATTTTTCCTCAGTTAGGAGGGGGAAAAGTACACTTGACATTTTCCAAACCAAAAACAAAACTAAACTCCAGAGGTTCAAAATATTTCATTACCAACATTTCCCTAGTAAAAACTGTAAGTCATTAAAAAAAAAGATTTTTATTGAATAAAAAGGAAAAACAAAGAGCTCCTACGAAAGACTATATCCATCAGTTTTGGAATGTAAATTCCGAGCAAAAAAGAGGCTCAATTCACATTTTTAAAAAGTCCCTGTTGGATGGAATCAGTATGGCCTGAAGGGGGATGAGTAGCGTGGTGATCCCCTGCTTTGGTATGGAGAATCGCGACCCCTTGAACCAGAACGGGACCGCGAGTAGCCATAGCTGGTACTTCTTTCGGGACAGACTCTGATATAGGAAGTTTCACCCTGAAATTTAAACAAAGAAGAAAACCTAAACATTTACATTGCATCCTGATTAACAGTCCTCCACTAGTATGAACAACACCAAATGGAGCTTAAGACCAAAGCATAAATAAACCAAAGACTGGAGTTTCCACAAAGAGGGCAGTATAAATCCATCTGCTGCTGCTTGGGTCAAACTCTGCGCTGGCACTTGATGCCTTGACGAGGTACGTTACAAAACAATATTGTGCATGTACTAGTGAGAAATACCTTGCTAGCCATCATCATCTGCAAGGGCAGAGGCTCAGCAGCCAGAAGAGGACCATGGACAAGTGCCTCCTACATCCAACCACACAGGAAGAGGCTGTGGCAACCAGTACAACCAGAGGGTGAAGGTCCCAATGGTCTGACTCCATCCTTAACTGCTGGAGGGAAATAGCTAGAGATACTAGTACGGTCCTTCAGCACAGGAAGGAGAGGCCGAACTCTCAGGTCACGATCATGTATCAGCACCTCAAGTTCTGTAAGGAAATCTCCACAGCAAGCACACTCAGCCTTCAGCTGAGGGGATGGTTGGAGCAGAACAGCTCAGCCATGGGAAGGTGGCTGCAATGAAGTAGCACAGCTCCAAGAATGAAAAAGCTGTGGTTTACTGGCTCAGACACCAGGAGACCACCAGAAGAAGAGGCTCCATGCTGGGGCATGGGAAAAACAGCTATAGCAACCAACACAGCTGCTCACTCAGCTTGTTCTTTGGGGGAGTGCTGTAGATTGCTGACAAAGCCCCCAGCTGGCAGAGGCAACATGAGTTGGCTTAGTTGAAAGGAGAAGGCTGTGAGCCACTGTGGCCAAAGGGAGAATGCCACAGCAAGCTAGCTTGCCCTGTAGAAGTCAGAGGCAAGAAGTCCAAATTCTTAGCTTCCAGGTAATGAAGGGTGCAGCCAACAGTACAGCTCTCAGCTATGATAAACGGGCTTGTCTGAGCCCTGCCCCTTCCAAATGTTATATTTTTAAAAAATCCAATATTAGTTACTTCACTCACTGAGCCAAGACCCTAACATGCCAAGCCACAGTGGGGTATGTGCCACAAAAGGTAGGAAAGACCCTTTATATTATAACAGGTCACTATTAACCACCAACTCCAATGTTATCACTAGGTTCTGTTCTTATGCCTCCTGAGAGCAGCATGACAAGGAAAAAAAAGTGTATGTTCCTCCATGACTGTACACACATATGCTCTTCCCCTGAAGGCACGAACCCACCTCATGAGAGCGGAATTTGGTGTCATCCAGTTTACGCAGTGCATATTCCATATCTTCCTTGCGGAGAAACTCAACTACACCCATTCCATCTTTCTGTACATCTGCATAACAAACATCACCAGCTTCACGCATATGATCCTTCAGGTCCTGCCAGCTGCCTGACGGAGGAAGCCCTGAGCATGGAGAACACAAAACATAAGACACCATATAAACAAAAAGGCCATCTACTCAGGCTGTCCCAGGGATGCTGACCCTGCCATGCCAAGGGCTCCATCACTTCCATGTGCTTTGTGACTCTTCCATAGGATCAGAACTGCAATAAGAACGGAGAGATCCAAAAAATAGCACTAAGTTCCATTCCAGAAAACCAGCAGCGGAGCCCTCCGTGGAAGGTACAAAATTTGGGCCTCCTGTCAGTAAGATAGTCCCTGGGTCTCTCTGGAATTCATAGTGCTGAGATTTCAGAGGAATCTGCTATTTGTGCTGTTGTAAAGTAATCCAGAACCACCCCTCAAACCCTGTACGTCTGTAATGAAGATTTTGCTCTCAAAGCAGGACTTTTTTTTTTTTCCTTAAGGTTCCTCAAGCTCAGCTCCCCATCCAAGATTGGCTTGTCCCATTCATATCAGTTGTATTAATTTGAGATTCCAGCAGTTCCATCCTCTGGTAGTGAGCAAAACCACATGCGTTTAGCTTGTAATTATCAGCACATTTACCTAAAGGAAGGCAAAGGGTTGAGTTTCCCTGCCCCGCAGCATGCTGGAGACTCTAATGTACTGCTGGTCCTGGCAATTTTCAAGAAGGCTTCACAATACCCTTTACCAATGCAGGTTTTCGTTCTCATGTCAAAAAATCGGACGATTTTCAGTTATTCTCCCCCAGCCCTCCCAGGCTCCTGAAGAGGAGATGTACTCCTGGTTTCAATGGATAGCGTTCAGATCCTGCTGCAATGCTGAAGATATTTTATTGCTACAGTAGAGTGGCTTCCTTACAGGGAACATTTTATTTTTTTAGCCATAAAGTCACAGGAGCATGCAGAGAAATGGAGATGTGGGTATTTTAAGGTGATGCATGGAGATAAGCATGTTTTCGGGAGAGACATATAGGTATGGGTTTTTATGGACTATTCCAAGCATCCGCTGTCAGGGAGTACTGAATTTCCTTCTGGGATTTCATATGCATTGCAGAACTTCCAAACATACTTTAATTTCTCTCCCACAAAGGGCCCCCTCCACTCCCATTTCCTAATGTCAACTCACTACTTGAATGGCCTTTTCAGTTTGTTTCTTTGTTTTTTTGTATGAAGTCCCTTAGGAATCCTTTGGTTGATTGAGGGGGCTCCCTTCCACAGTGCCTTAGTCATTCTTTCCCATAGTGAGTAGATCATGTGGAGGTGCTGAGGTACAGACCACACTTTATTTATTTTTTTAATGAACAAAATGTCAACACCTATCAGAGTGTAT